CTCAGTCTCCCGAGTGCTGGGATTACAGGCATGTGCCACCATGCCCGGCTGGGTTTGATGCCCAGTACCAAAAAAAAGAAAAAAAGAAAAGAAAACTCAGTAAATCAGAAGCTGAAGTTAACAACAGATTAGGGGTGGCTGAAGCAATACTAAAGTAGAGGACAGGTTGGAAAAAATCTAGAACAAAGCCTGCAAGGGAAAAGAGGAAAAACCCAGAAGAGAACAAGAGACTTCTGGTAAGGTCTGTACACAAAGGTGAATTCTTCCAGGGAGAAGAGAGGAAGGGGATGGTGGGGACGGTGAAGCAAGAATAGCTAGGCGTTTCCTAAGAACAATAACTGCCATTACAGATGCACAAGCCGCAAAACCAAAGCAAGAGAAAGACAATGACACTGAACCCGGGCACAGTATGAGAAAACTGCTAAAAACCAGCTGAAGATAAAACCTTAAAACACCAGAATAAAAAAGGATATCAACATGTTCCTGCTGGTGGTAAATGCATGACTGTCCACTGGGTGGCTTTTTAAAAATTTTATTAGTAAAAAGACCGGTGAAAGTGATTAGATCCATTTGTACCACCAGTGGTACAAGCTGCCCAATGGGATAGTCATGCATGTACCACTGGTGGTTCAAGTTGCCCAGCAGCAAGACACCCAGTAAATTGGCCATCGTGCTGTGCATTTCTAGTCCCAGCTAAGACTGGAGGGTCACCTGAGGTCTGGAGTTTGAGGCTCCTCTGGATAACACATTTAAACAAAGCAGGCATGGTGGTGCACGGCTGCAACCCTAGAACTTCAGAGCCCTTGAGTGCTAGGCCAGCCTGCGCTACACAGGAAGTTCAAGAGCAGACTACATTGCAAGACCCTGCCGAAAAATAAAATAAAACAAAACACAGAAAATGTAAGGCTGACAGCTGACTCCTCAACACAAGCAGTGGGAGCTGGCGAAAGAGTGGAATCTAATCACAAAAACCGTAAATCCCCAACCCAGAGTTCTACATCCTGTTCACACGACATTTTAAACAGAAAGCAGAATAAAAATTCTCTTTAACAGAAGCAGTATTCCTTACCAGCATACCTGCTTTAAAAAAAAAAAAAAAAGATATACTTTAAGGCCAAAGGAAATGATCCTAGTGAAGCTCAGACACGGAGGGAAGAGTGAAGGCACAGGGGAAGGATACATCAAATAACTGCAGAGTTAAAATGCAGCCAGCAGTGAAACAGAAATCCCAGGCAGGGCAAAGACAAGAGTGAGGAAGGGGTAAGCAGAGTTCACATTTCCAGGACTCTTGCATTGCAGAAGGGCCATTTGGGAACGAAATGATTACTACGACATCTTACCTAATCCCTAAAAGACTGGTGAAAGAATGAAGAATTTTAAAAAACATAAAATATAGAAAGGAATCAGGAAGAAACAATAAACATAAACCCAAACATATGAATATGTGCTGTACATTAACCGTATGTAAACAAACAGCTCCAGCTGGAAACAGAGGCTGCTGGACTGCACAGAACAGAGGAGCCAGCTATGACTGCCACAGGGATGCACTCACACCAAAGAACACAAAGCAGTAACGGCAGGAAGGGTCAGTGTGTATCTTAAGACAAGATGACCTCTACCAGGAGGTGATACAATGCTTGTGGAAGACATACAGGCATATAAAGAAATCAGTTCTCCCCACGCTGATCCACGTACTCAAAAAAATTCCTAGGCTTTTTTTGTGGAAATTAGTAAACTGACTCTAAAATGTATATGGAAATGCAAAGGGACAAAAATTACCAAGATAATTTTGTGGAAGAAAGACAAAATTCGTCCTACCAGATATAAAAACCTACAAACTAGAATAAATATGACTATGGGATAGTGGCACAAATTTAGACAAATACAGCAATAGAACAGAATAAAGAGGAGAAGAGCTACACCTACCTATAAGAACATTTAGCAAAAGGGCCATTCAGAACAATGGAGGAAAGATGGTACTTTTAATAAAAAATTTACTAGACAACAGGACATCCATAAGGAAAACAAATCCACATGATTTGACTGTGCCCTACACCATAATTAAGATCAATTCTAATTGGCATGGTGGCACACACCTGTAACCCCAGCACTTGGGAGGCTGAGGCAGGAGGATCTTGAGACTAGCCTGAACTACATAATGAGTTCAAGGCTAACCTGAACTACATAGCAAGACCCTGTCTCAAACCACCCACCCACATAAAAAAAATAGAAGATTTGAACAACACAATTAACAAATATGACCTAAGGGCCATCCACAGAATACTTCTGAGGAACATAAGAAGTTTTCAGTTGACTACATTCTACACCAAATATCAAGAAATTTCAAAGAAACATATTCTTCTATAGTATTCACTCAGATCACAGAGCAGCTGTGTCATAAATAACTAACCAGGGGAAGAAAAAGCCCAGAAAATTTCAACATGTTTGAAAAATTAAGAACCATATTTTTAAAAGAAACTTTTAAATAACTCAGATCAAGAAAATTACAATGAAGATGAAAAAATATTTTGAAACAATAATCAAATTTCTGGGATACACACCAAAGGACTCCTGCACTGTGGATATACATGCTGCCTGGGACGCTTGCACTGGGCAATGTATACCTTTGAGTATATCAGAAAGGGGGTGCTGCGAATGGAAAAAGTGAGGATCTATTTCAACAAGTTGGGAAGAGTTGCAAAATCAACCAGAATAGGAAGGAAAATGAAATATAAACCAAAAGTCACACAGCAGAGAGGATGACAAGCGGGCCCTTGGCTGGCACACGGGACCTTTGTTTTGTCTCTAGTTTCCAGGACTGGTGTTGTGGCTCGCTGTGAAAGACGCACCTGCTGTCCCTCTAGGGGTAAGGGATCTTGGAAAGTTCCAGGTGGAGTCTCCAACGGGTTTCCAGAGACCTGGGCGCACTGCTTGCTGGGGAAAACTGCACGCCCCAGGTGGCCCCACTGACACACAGCCTGGGAAGCACGGACCCTGGAGCTGTTGCCTAGGCTGACCGCGATGCACCCCTGCCTGGAAGGAGTCACAGACCTCATGCAGAGGCAGCTGCCTGCAGAGGGCTGAGCACCCTGAGGTTAAGTGACCCTGGCATCCTTGGGGTGCCAACACAGGTAAGAGATAAGAAAAAGAAACAAATATTTTTTAAAATAATTTTTACATCACAAATTTTTTTTTTTTTTTTTTTTTTGGCCTTTGTGAGACAGGGTCCCACTATGCAGTTCAAGCTGGCCTTGAACTCACTTTGTAGCCCAGTCTGGCCTCAAACTCACAGCAATTCTCCCGCCTCAGCCTCCCAAGTGCTGGGATTACAGGTGTGAGCTGCCATGCCCGGCACATCACGAAATTTTTAAATTTAAGAAATTTTTATTTCTTGTTCCAAGAAAAGAAGTTTATATCTTAAAAATTATAAAACAAAACATATACAAAGACAGTAATTTTTTCTACAACTGTACAGTTCATCTTGATCAGGAAACAGCTCATTTACTCACCTTCAGTAGCTTGATCTCACGCATGGCAATTTTCTTAACCATTTTGTCATCGTCACTTTCTAAGAACTTCTTTATGGCCACCATCCTTCCGCTGTCTTTATCTCTACACTTCATCACCACTCCGTAGCTGCCTTCTCCCACCAGGCCTAGGTTCTCATATTTTTCCATTTTAATTTAAAAGCAAGAGGAATTTTTCTTGCTGTGGAAACCAAAATACAGAGTCACCACTGTTGAGTTTATTCATTTCCCCCACTCTCCCAGAAAATCAGTTCTTCCTCTCTTTTTTTGGCGGGGGTACTGGGAATCAAACTCAGGACCTTGTGCTTGCCAGGCAGGTGCTGTGCTGCTGAGCTATCTCCCCAGGCCGATTCTTCCTCTTGTTATATTTTAGAGCAGTGAATGTTTGTGGCTATCTGTACCAACTCACAGTTCTTTAGCATTTTTACAACTAAGCTATGTTTTCAAAATAATCATACATATCGCATGAAAGATGTGGCAAAGGAACTGAACTCATTAAATTTAAATTACTACATGGTGTATTAACAAAATCCAATGTTTTTAGTTTAGATAAAGCAATACTAGCTCAGCTCACTAGAAAAGCACAATTCTTTTCCACTCAAAAGGTGAAAAGGCACAGTGGAATTCCATTCTAATGAAATCCAAAATATTTTTTCACCAGGCTTTAAAAAACACAGTTGAGGGGCTGGGGATTTAGCTCAGCGGCACAGCGCCTGCCTGGCAAGCGCGAGGTCGTGAGTTCGATTCCTGGTACTGGAAAAAAAAAAAAAAACCCAAAAAATAAAATAAAATAAATAGAAAACACATTGGAAATTGCATGTACTACCTACTCAACCAGAAAAAATATTTGATCACAAAATAATTATTTACCAAACTAACACGGAATCTTTGATACATGTTTCTGTAATTTTCCTACAATACTAACTACTATCTGTAGTTACAAAATAAAACCAATAACATCATATTATACACGCAGCATTTTTAAGAAAATTAAATATTAGTTGGAATATCTTTTTTTTTGGTACTGGGAATCAAACTCATGACCCCATGCTTCCTAGGCGGGCACTGTACCACTGAGCTATATTCCTGGCCCCAGAAATTAAATATTAGTAACACCAATACAGCGCTTGTTTCAAAAATCCTGCTAATTATTACTCACCATAGTACAGTAATTTGAATTTTGTGGTTAGAATTCTTTTACATCTTTTATATAACATTTCGTTCTTTTAAATGCCATTTTCTGAATAAAGTCAATCACAACGGATTCTGTCCTGTTTTACCAGTGATTGGTGAAGGTCTAGTAACCATATCATGCACCACGTTTATGCATACATTTAAGCATGTTTAGGCACAGAAAAATTATTGCAAGGCAGGGGATGGATGATGTAGCTCAAATGCTTAGCATGTGTGAGACCTTAAGGATCAGTCCCACCAACACATACATGTAAAATATTTTAGTCCAAATACAGCTACATTTTTTTTTCATGTTTGGTTGCCATGACATATAAAAACTATAAGCTACAACTTCAGAGTTAAATTTATTGTTACAATCCTGATTTTAAAATTAAATTCCAGCTAGGCATGGTGGCACACCCCCTAACCCCAGCTCTCGGGAGGCTGAGGCAGGAGGATCGCCAAAAGTTCAAGGCCAGCCTGGACTACATAGTAAGACCATGTCCCAAAAAAATCAAACCACACAACAACATCCACAACATTAAGTTCCAGAAGCTACGAATAAAAAATATTGCCTTTAAGCCCAATGTGGTTTCAGTGGTTTGGGGCAACCATGGGGTTTTGGTGGCTTCTGGTAACTTTATGCCTTGCAAATGATGGTTGGTGGGTGAATTTTCTTTTCAGCCTGACAATAAAAAAACACCCATAAAAACTCTGCCATTGTACTGTGTACTACAGCAATCTGAAACTAATGCACCCAGATCACGGACTGCCTTGCTGGTTTACTTGCGTCTCTGTTGGTAAACTGATAGCAAAGACAAAAACAGACGCTTTTCATTGCAGCAAACTATGATACCGCAGGGCAGTAACACGTCCTTGGCACTAACCTGTGGGCTCACCAGACACACTCTGGGGGTGGGACTGCATGGGCGTCGCTCTAGCACGGAGCTATGTCCCAGGTCCCGCTACACACAGTACATGTTCCTAATGTGCATTTGCACGCAGAACCGCAAGAGTGACTGGGGCGGGGATGCAACAATCCCAGTCATCACTACCTCAAATTCTCTCGTGGTTCTACTACCTGTTTTGATAGCAGGTTGTCCTACCACCAGCTATTTACCCAGCAGGGTTCCAGACACTACCTTTCCACATATCTGATGTTTTAACTTCTACTTGGGTAACTTCTATCAGCTATTTTTAATACAATGTTCGTATTTTTAAAAAGTCTCGATGTAAGTCCACCCGCCCCTCCTTCATTTGTCCTGCCGTTCTGTTTCAGCCTGGGTGTGGAGGCACAGGCCTGTGATCGCAGCACTCTGGAAGGCTGAGGCAGGAGGATCACAAGTGGGAGCCGGCTTGAGCAATTCAGCGAGATCCTGTCTCAAAATCAACTCATAAAAGGATGGAGGATGGAGCTCAGGGGGAAGGCCCCGGGTCCCACCCCAGCGTATGTGTGTGGGGGAGTGTAACTGGCGCCCTCAGCCCGCAAAAATGGGAGTGAGGAGAGGAACAGCGAGCCCCGCCTGCCCAGGACACCCTGCGCAGATCACCCCGGACCTGACCCGAGCCCAGCGCCCCCGTCTGATCCCACCGCGCC